AAAAAGACGTCATACAGTATTCACAAAACACAGCTAGGTTAGACACAGTAGATCGATTGGAAACAAAACCATGTTGGTTAGGCAGGATTAAACTTTTAGTGATAAAACACATTTTTTCTTTGACTATAGATTCAGAAAGCTTCGATACAGTTGATAGTTTAGCAATGGGCCTGTAATTGCGAACATTATTTTTATTCCCACTCTTAAATATAGGGTTAAAGAAGTAATTTTCCATTCCTCGATAAAGACGCCCGACGCAAGAGACAAATTAAAAATACGATGTAGAGGTAGAATTAGAGCGGGACAGTTCTTGAAGAGAAGGGCAGAAAACCCATCAACATCCACTTTCGTAGACGGTTTCAGCTTAGAAATGCCAGCTTCCACGTCATCAAGTGACAGAGTTAGAGTCCCAAAGCTGAACTCAGTAGCTGAGTCGTGGTTTATATCAGGCCAGGAATTACCATCATCCCACACATAGTTGGCACTAAAAAATTCAGCGAAGAGACTCGCCACCTCAGTAGGGCCACTAGCAGATTTATCGTCCAAAAAGATAGTCGAAGGAATGCAAGAGCCACATTTCTTAGACTTTATGAAAAGACACCTTTGGAGACTTTACGCGAAATTCATATGCGAAAGCAAGTATTTCTTTCTTAACTGTCTGCAAAATAGCTTAAAATTGGCAAATCCTATTTAACGAGGAATGTGACAACCGGTTTTTTTTAAATCACCTCGCTAGCTGGTTTGCCAAATCGAAAACAACTAATTTTGTGAGCACTTATAACTACTTGCTTTGTTGTATGTATGTACATATAAATATAATTAGGTGACAACAACTGCAAATTATCGCATCAGTTTGAAGATCGTGAGTGGTGGCGGCGCCGCTTTTTATCAAGTAGCACAAGTTACTGGCACCGGCCCCAACGAATTAATAGTGACTTATACACATGTACATACATGCATTTGAATTATTTTGCAGTGTATATTAATTGTATATATGTATGTAAATATTTACATACGTACGCATGTACATAAGTATATAAATATTGCATTTTGATAAACCTCAATAATGGCCGGTGGCGTGCGAAGAAAACGTGCGTGCAGGCGCTGAATGTACGAAAAATAAAGAGAATAAGTATTAGCGAGCGCATAATGAAGAGCGAGATGTTTAAGTAAACAGAGATGCAGTTGAGAAAAAGTAGTATGCATTTTTAAACCCAATGCATCAAGGAATCGACATGCCATGCTGAATTGCACTTACATAAGTGAAGTTTAGAGCCATGAGGGTAGAGCTCTTACTTATGGTGGACGACCTCTTAATCACACGGATGAAGTCAAATATATAGGTATTATGCTAGATAAGAGACTTTAGTGAAACTCCCATCATAAGAAATAACTGTCGCTAGCAAGCGCCATATGAGCCTGCGGAAGACCTTTTTGGAAAAACATTGGCTGAACTCTAGGCTGATAGAGCGACGGCTTCGATACATAAGAAGAAGCATCGTGCAGCTATTCTGAGAAGATACTATAACTAAAAAGATCTGCATGGCAAACGGGCTCCATGTCCTTAGGGCTTAGTTTGTCTTCTTCGAGAACCATAGCTACTGAGTGAATACACAATAAACGTAGTAAGTAATTGAGAACGATAGAGGTCCGTATATTAGGTTATTAAACATTAATGACATCACGCTGGGTGCCTAACTGTTCACAATTGATTACCATTTTACTTACACCGAACAGGTGTGATTGGACTATTCAGAATACCGACTCTGCCTTGAAGACGGTGAGACTTGAGAACACTTTCTTTATGATTGCCCGATTCTGGACGGACAAAGGTTTATTCATTTTAAGGCTAAAATGTTCGAATCCTTTATACTTACCAGAGAATTCCCCTAGGATTCAGTAGGAAAGCCGAAGGTATTTACGCGCATTAACATTTCTGCATTTTATCTTCTTTCATAAGCATAAAATTAAGACTAAAAGCATAAAAAGACGGCAGCGTTGATCCGGATGAACTCGGGAATTAACTGCAGTTGATCGGTATTAAGTCCGAGTTAAGCTTTAAGAGTAAGATTAAGATTAAGATTAGGATTAAGATGAAGATCAAGATCAAGTTTAATATTAAGATTAAGATGTAGATTAAGATTGAGGTTAAGATTAGAATTAAAACAAGTAAGAAAGTCTAAGTTCGGGCGGAGCCGAACATTAAATACCCGGCGCAAGTATTAAATATATGTTTTCCACCTTTCCGAAAGCTACCGCTACATGATAAGCCGGGGTGTATACATTTTAAGTAAATTAGCGTCCTTAAATTTCGAAATATTGAAATTTCAAGCATATCTGAAATTTACCGTTGTATGAAAAGCGGCCTCAATTTTAGTCCGATTTTAACAATTTTCAACGGTTTGCTTTTATGTGGCAAGCACAATAACCATACCGAGCTTGGTACAAATTGCTAGAACGGTTAGCGAGATACATATATGTGATCACAAGTGGGCGGTGCTACGCCCATTTTCCAAAATTTTGTCATAAACGTATTTCTTGGTAAAGAATTGTTGCAATCATCAATTTTGAATAAATTAGCTTCAATATTTACTGATTTATCGAAGATTTTGTATTTCTCGAAATTTTCGTTATATGGGATGTGGGCGTGGTTATTGTCCGGTTTTAGAAATTTTCGGCCAGTTGGTATACTGTACCAGGACCAACAACTGTGCCAAGTTTGGAAGAAATTGGTGTAGCGGTTACCAAGATATACACATGTAACCATAAGTGGGCGTGGCTACGCCCATTTGCCAAAATTTTGTAATATTCTTATTTTTCGTCTAAAACTCATTGCAAATATCAATTTTGAGTGAATTATCTTCAGTAGTTACTAAAATATCGCAGTTTTAGTTTTTCTGAAAATTACCGTTATATGGGAGGTAGGCGTGGTTATTGTCCGATTTTTAAAATTTTTAGCCATTTAGTATACTGGTACTAGGGCCAACAACTGTGCCCAGTTTGGAAGAAATCGGTGCAGCGGTTACCAAGATATACACATGTAACCATAAGTGGGCGTGGCTACGCCCATTTTCCAAAAATTTATAATATTCATGTTTTCCGTCTGAAACTCATTGTAAGTATCAATTTTGAGTGAATTATCTTCAGTAGTTACTAAAATATCGCAGGTTTCGTATTTCTTAAAATTACCGTTATATGGAAGGTAGGCGTGGTTATTATCTGATTTCGCCCATTTTCAATACCATCCGTCCCACGCCCAAAAGAAGTTCACGTACCAAGTTTCGTTAAGATATCTCAATTTTTACTCGAGTTATCGTGTGCACAGACGGACGGACGGACGGACGGACGGACGGACGGACGGACGGACGGACGGACGGACGGACGGACGGACGGACGGACGGACGGACGGACAGACAGTCACCGCTTAATCGATTTCTCTTTTCATTCTGATCATTTATGTATACATTTGTCTATATCTATCTCGATTCGTTTTGCCTGTTACAAACAACCGTTATGTGAACAAAGTTATAATACCCTTGTGCACAAGTGCGCTCGGGTATAATAATTGTTCATTATTACGCGGATAAAGTACTTATATAATATGTTGATAAAAGACACATTTAATGAAATGAAAATTTGTAAAAGAAAAAGCTCAATATTAAAATTGTTCATACTTCCTTTAATTGAAAATACCCGAAGCCCCTTTTACCTGAAAATTAAATACTTTAATATTGCGAGTTATTGAATTATCGAGATCTTCTTTAAATGGCACTGACATGAAAAAAGCAACACTGTTTAATTTCACCTGCAGCTATTGGTATGTATGTACTTCGATTCTCAGAAGCATACGCACACCTGTACTTTTACATACATATGCACATATATACATATACTCTCACTCTCTTTCTACGCACCAGCTGCCACCCTCACTGCAAAAACGGCAAATTGTTCTACGTAGAGCGCGTTATCACTTCACCAACTTTACTGTTATACACATATAAACGACGAGAGTTGGAGCTGATACTCCGCATAATAAAGTGCTGAGCAATACGACGCTGAAACAATCAGCCAAGAGCCAAGATCACCGATCATCCAACAGTCGAAATGAGTAAGCCAGTTGAGCAGTGAGTAAGACAAAAAACAGCTGAGCGGGAGCAGAGTAGAATTTTAAAAACTGTTTAAAACTAAACTGCCTTCAGGCCAGGTCCAACAGTTATAAACGAAACTCTAAAGCGCAAAGTGTACGACAGAAACGAGGTAATAAATGCCACATACCTAGCAAAGTGTGAAAAAAGCAAGAAAACGAAAAACAACAAAAAGTCACATCTACATACATAATAAAATGTAGTGGAAGTGATAGTAGTTATAGTAGAAATATTTACTTGTACTATTATTATCCATAGTCAATCCGCGAGCTGCCAATTGTAAAAAGGAAAAGCGGATAAAACTAAAAATCTAGTTTATATGAAAGCGAATTTAATTTTTGTATTTAATTTTTATGGCAGAGATTAAAAAATGAGTGTTGAGAATACAAAACTAAATTCTATTTTAAAAATATATATATATATATATAT